TCTCGCAAGGTAAACTTTGCAAACTATCCCTGAGACTCCAAGTGTGCAAACAGTAGCTACCTTGGGGCTTTTCCTTGTCTGAAGTCGATCACCACTACCTTCAGGTCGAAATCTACAATCTACCTTTCTGTGAAGGATACCTACAACACATGATACCCTACTTTAAAGAGGGTAAGTTTCTAGTACATGAAACCTATGTAAGATACCTTCAATGGACGACTTGGAGCATCAGGGGCATGGCTTCGATATTCTCAGCGCTGGAAAGCCCAACTTTAGAATGGTCTGGCTCCAACAATCGCTGCTTCGAGAATCATGGGTTTTGGGGATTTAAGGCTCAGGGTTAGGATTCGGGGTTTAGGGTTTGGACTTTGGGATTTGGGGTTTTGCATTTAGGGGCTGAGTGAGAAGATTTATGTCAAAGTAGAGGTAAGGCATTAGGGTTTAGGGTTCAGGGTTTAGGGTTTAGGGTTTGGGGTTTAGGGTTTAGGGTTTAGGGTAATCCTGCTTAGGGCATAAGCCCAGACCATCAAGCCTAACTATGCGGGCAGTGCTCTCTAAATCAGGGTCCCTTTGCGGGTCTCCGAAATACTTCGGCTTCCTTTAAAAAAGGACCCTGCCTCTTCTTGTAGGAACCCTACAGACACCCTTTTGGGGACCCAACATAGAAACCCTACAGAAACCCTCTAAGGGACCCAACATAGAAACCTTTCCAGGGACCCAACATAGAAACCCTATAGAAACCCCTTAAACGACCCAGCGTAGAAACCCTTTTAAGGGACCCTATTTTGGAGAACTAACCCATGTCGGAGCTCGTATTGACAGCTCTACAGATCGACTGCAAGGACTCGCACTCACCACATGCACGCCAGCCTCGGACTCCACTGCGGTTTAGGGTTTTAGGGCTTAGGGTCAAAGCCCGCTTAAGAGGTACAGTAGCACTTAAAGCATCCCCTTTAAGAAGCCCATGCTCCAGTAATCCTGAACGTATCCCTTATACTACACTGTATAGTATCACTCTATATAACCCCTTGCGGTGCCCTCAACCACACTTCCAACACGTCGGTGTTGGGGCTGCAGGAAGGTGTGGAGATGTTGCACTGCGAGCGAAACGCTGTAAGCCCGGAGCAGAGGATGCTGCAAAGGCTCCTGGTACTGTTGATGATATAAATCCTGCACTACCTTGAGGACCCTAAACTATGGGATTTATGGCACATTCCTTATTATGGGTAGTGAAGTGCAGGATTCCTATCATCAACCGTAGGACCACAACGATGGTTTAGGGTTAAAGGGTGGGCTTTAATGATTTGGGGTTCAGGGTCTTGGTTTGAGGGTTTAGGCTTTGGGGTTCACCTTTTTTCTTCAGCCGAAACGATCGAACTCACCAAAATCACCTGCACAGACACCTGGATGCCTGAGAAGCCCCTAAACCCTAAACCCTAGACCCCTAAACCCTAAACCCCTAAACCCTAAACCGCTAAACCTAAACTCTCAACCTTAAACCCCCCGTCCTGCATGGTCGGCTGAAGGCTTGGCAGTGCACATGGGGAGGACATCTCCGCACGTGCCTGGTGGCCCAGAGAACACCTTACTTAAGGAATATACCTTAAATTATAGGGGCCTTATTATTATGATTTAAAATATATTCCTTGAATTATAGGTGCCTTATTATTATGATTTAAGGTCTATTCCTTAATTAAGAGGTACTGGGTTCTCTGGGTGGGAAGGCTGGCCGGAGGCGGATCGCCCTGGCACTACCGGGCACTTAGAGGTTGCAAGGCCCCGGGATCGACCACAGAACTAAGACCAGAGAGGCCCTAAACCCTAAACCCTAAACCCTAAACCCTAAACCCTAAACCCTAAACCCTAAACCCTAGAAGCCCAAAACTCCCACAAGCCCGAAAGCCCAGAACCCTCGAGCCCCAGAAGCCTAGAAC